CTTTTATAGGCAACTCATCCCTCATCATATCCCCTTATTTGCCGATGTGGGACAAAAATAAAAGGCATTGGTTTGCCTCTGTCTTTGAACTACTCCTCATCTCCCCCTCATTTGTTTTTGAACTACTACTATACTTCTTTTCTTTTTGTATTGATTTCTTTACTTCTTTTTTCTGGCTAATTTTTTAAAATAATTATTAATTTATTATTATATTAATTTTATTTAAATGGATAAATGTATGATAAACGATTTGACATGTCTCACCCGAACATGACCCATTTATTAATGTGTCTGACGAGTCAACCCGTTTACCACTCAAATTTGTTAAGATCTCACCCAAAACTACTTAATTCGTGTCGATTCATGGTAGTTAATTGTGTTTTTTTGGATTTTGACTTACCAACACAAAACCCTAATATACCCGTCTGAAGACCTTCTCTTTCCTTTTCATTGAAAAAGAAAGGGTTTTTTAGGTGTAGGTATATTTTTTTAGATTTATCTAAGAGGAAGTGTGGTGTGTATCATACTCCTCTCCCGATACGAGCTATTTCCAGACCATTTCATCGTGCTTGTTTTAGAAAACACTTCAGTCAACCCAGTAAGTATATAGATAATTTGACATTTCCCAGTCCAGTCCCCTCCCTACGGCTTGCTGCCAATAAGGGTAAGGCATCTTGTTCATAATCGCATTGTAGATAAGATGGCTTCCATGAGGGGTAGTTTGTGTTTGGGAAATCGAGACGCGAACTGACTCTATACCTGCGCGAAGGTCTATCTCCCTCCCTTACCTATGCAAGCTTCAAGAGGTGCGTCATATGAAGTGAGTTTCAATTCCTACAACGGTTCGAGTTGGTGATCAAGTACAAGAAAAGAAGGGCCAATGACGGTTGCAGATTTTCTATCCAAACCCCCTTTTGATGTTATTAGTAAAACATCGCACTTGTTGTTTTTCTCACTTTATTGGATTTCAAGGACTTTACGGCGAAGTATTCGGAGGGACGTCGAAAGGCGTCTATGGATAATTATTTTAATATTTTAAGTTCAATTTTAATAAAATATCTTGTGATTAGGTACAAAATTCAAATGACATTTAAATTTTTTACTTACTTATTATTCCTTAAATTAAGCATAATTTTTATTCTCTCCAAATCTCTCTCATTTCTCTCCTCTATTTTCTCTCCATCTCTTTCTTTCTCTCTCTCTCTCCTTACTTTCCCTATCTCTCCCTTATTTTTTTTCTCTATCTCCCATTGATAATTTATTTATTTTTTAAATATATAAAGATTTAATTTAATTTTTTCATCTTTCTTTCCCCTATTTCTCTCTCTCTCTCTCTCTCTCACTCACTATTTTACCCTATGTTCTCTCACTGTTATCCTCTCTCCTAATTCTCTCTCTCTTTCTCTCTCTTTATCTCAACGTTACAAAAACACAATTACACTAATTAGTGATATCAATTAATTACAATTGCACTATAATATACCAAATAGTTACTCATGTGTTATAATAAGTCAAATAATTATACTAAATATTTACACAAAATTATGATACCAACCCAAATTTTCATTCAGTTGTTTACATAAACTAAAAATTTGCACTATTTAGTAACACGACATAGTTATACCAATTACATACACCAAATTTGGTGTAATGATAAACCCAATTTGGTATATATAATTGGTGTAACCATGTCGTAATACTAAATGATATAACTCTTTAGTTTATGTAAACAATTGAATGACAAATTGAGTTAGTGTTGTAATTTCATGTAATTGTTTAGTGTAACTGTTTGGTTTATTAGAACACATGAATAACTATTTGGTGTATTTTATGGTAATTGTAACTAATTAGAGTAATTGTGTTGTTATAACGTTGATATAAAGAGAGAAAGAGTAACATTGAGAGAAAATAGGAGAGATAAAAAATAAGGGAGAGAGAGATGAAAAAATTAAATTAAATCTTTACATATTTGAAAAAAAATAAATTATCAATGTGAGAAAGATATATAGATAGAAAGTAGGGAGTAAAATGTGAGAGAGTAATGGAGAGAGAGAGAGAGAGAGAGAGAGAGAGTAATAGAGCAATAAATCACCTTTAGTCTTTTTTTTCAAAAAAATGCATTTATAATCAAATAAGTTTTTTTAATGTAGTTTAGTTCAATTAAGTCTAAATTTTTATACCAGCTTCCAAATTCCCCAAAAAGAAAGCAAAGACCCTACTTAGCCCTATCAAGAATGAAAGCCCATGTGACACCTAGTGTTAACACTCCCCAATCTGAAAATGCTAACCACTATTTTTCAATTGTAAGAACATCTCCAACAATAACTCAAATTTAGATTCAAATTTGAGTATAAAACTTAATTTAGTATATAGAGTACTATAATGAGCAAACTCAAATATCTATTCAAATCTTTTAAAGCATTCCCGTATTGTCCCAAAACTCTTTTTTTTTTTGTCATTCAAATCATGATATTTGATAAAATAAATGAAACTTTCATATCTCTTCACAAATAGGTAATTCAAAAAAAAATGAATATGTATACAACACGACATGGGAATAAAGAAACCACTCTAGAATTCTAAAATTGTTCTAATCCTTTATCATTTTTTATAAATCCCGATAAAGAAAAAGAAAAAGAAAAAGAAAAAAAATATAAGTATTTTGACATGAGTCTGGTTTGAAGAATACAAAAATATACATTTTTAACAAAAATGAGAGATTGAAGAAATAAAATGACAAATTTTTTAAATTTTTAGGTGGTGAAGGCCTAAAATTTTAGGAAAAAATCGGTGGCCCAAAATTGTATTACTGATAGAGTTTAACTCGAAAAAATCAAATAAAAATTTGATGGGTAGACTTAGGGTTTATATAATATGAAAGATAAGTGAGATTAAGGTTTTAAAAAATACAATAATTCAAGAAGATGCAAGATGAAAAACAAACTTAATTATAGGACTTCATTGATTTGTGAAAGCTTTGGTGATGGTCGGCGATGGAAACAACATAGTAGAGAGATGGAAGAATAGATAGAGAACAAGTCAACGAAGAAGTCTTTTAGTTTTGAATAGGTTAAAAAGTTACCATTAAAAATTTGGTATAAAATTTAAGTCTGATTCAATTTGGGTTCAGAATAAATTTTGCCTTGATTGATATAGGTTTGAGTTCAAAGTTGGAAAAATTTTTTGGACTATTTTAATTCAAATTTAAATTTGAGTCTACATTTGAGTCAAAGTTGAAGATACTCTAACGAGAATATACAGGAAAAATTAATCCATGTCATAATTTGAATAACATCCCTTATGTTATTTAAAATTCATTGACTTCCTTTCTCGGTGTTAAATAATAAGTTAAGAACAATTGGAGAATGTTATGGTACCCCCCCCCCCCAAAAAAAAATGATTATCCTATCGGCATATATAGTTTTTTTAGGGTTTTTTGAACAATTTTTAGGGGTCATTTATCATTTATAGGATTTTTAATAATTTAAGGATCAATCCTAAACATCTCTTATCGATTCAATTCTAAAATTATTACGATTAATGAGAAATCTCTAAATAATTTAATTTAATCACAAAAAAAAGAGAGGTTAGAAGTATATCTTCCTAGACAGAACGAGAATGAGCATTCATTTGACCTTGACCCTTGTAGAGCAAAATAGAGACTAAACTAGATCTACATGGCTGTCCTAATAACATTCATAAATGACTGATTTTCTACAACCACTTGTTTTGATCCAATCCAATATATCTATAACTTGAAGGATAAAATAAAAGTTATCGCATGACCCCAAAAATAATAAGGTAAATTTCACTTATTTAAGTTATATTTTACTGACATCTTCTCTAATTTCTAAAATATCACGATATATGCTTGTTCGTTCATATATAATGTATATTTTACTAACCATCTATACCGTTACTGCTGGCCAAAACATGTGGTTGCATATTCACTTATGAATTACTAAATTTTCCTTCTAGCCTGTATATAGACAACAATTACACTAATATAATGTCATCTCCTTTTTGTTTTTGACAATCTCAACTTGTTCCAACATCTAAGTACAATAGTAGGCAATCAATTTAGTCTTAATATGATAAAATTGAATATTAATAATTTTTTAGGGGTTATTTATCATTTTTGGGGCTTTTGTGATTGATATCCTAAATATTTTAGGATTGATCCTAAAATATTTGTTAACTATTCAATTTTAAAATTGTTAGATTGATCACAAACCTCTAAAAAGTTATAACTTGGATTAATCATCCCTAGAGCCAAGCTTCGCTTGTCCTGAGATGAAACAAGGATTCTATTTCGAGGGGAGTCAAAACTCAATAATAGGGTGTCACAGAACTTGGATTAATCATCAGATTTGAATTATCTGTATGTCTAGGCAACTTAAAAAAAGATTAAATTATACTTTATTCTCCTAAACTATTATCTTTGTTTTACTTTATAATTTCAACTATAAAATTTTTTATATTACACCTTAATATATCAATTTTATTTTATATCACTCTAATAGGTAACGATAAACTTAAAAATCTATTAAATTAAGGAGAAAAACTCCAGAGTGTTTCTCGCTAAGTGTCTGATACTATTTTATTTTGCTTGTTTTGTAACCAAATGGTTGTCGAAAAGAAAAAAAAAAGTCAGATAGAAGAAGAAAATTTAGAGTTTAAGAATGGAACAATCATGGATAATTATTTTTCTTGATTTTTTTATCTATACACACATGTATAATAGACAATTATTTATTGACATTACATACCACTCATAATTGAGGGTACAAAGTGAAATAAAAATAATAGTTTGAGGGGATAAAATTTAATTTACCCACTTAAAAACTCCTAATGGAAATAATATTAATATATTATAATTAAAATAACCAAATCAACATCCCTCATCATAAAGTAATAGAAAATAACCTCTTAGGCAAATTTTTAAATAACAGAACTTGTGGGGTGGAAAAATAATTAAACCAGAACAGCACTCCTAGCTC